TGTTGATAAGCTGCTGGTGGCCGTGCAAGTTAAGCTAGCTTATGTGTTGGCAATTTCCACGTGACATCTCTGTCAGCCAGGATATGGACCACGCCATCCATGTTTTCCTACATGCAAGTCCAAGAGACAACAAAAGTAAACCTGCTCCTTCTTGGATATTAGGAATAAATTCTTTACAGTGAGGGTGGTGAGGCACTGGAACAGGTTGCCCAGAGAAGCTGTGGGTGCCCCATCCCTGGAGGTGTTCAAGGCCAGGCTGGATGAGGCTTTGAGCAACCTGGTCTAGTGGAGGGTGTCCATGCCCATGGCAGGGGGGGTGGAACTCGATGATCTTTAAGGTCCCTTCCAACTCAGATTATTCTATGATTCCATGATCTCTTTGCTGCACAGGGACTCCCTTAACAGACAAAGGGACCCTCCTGGCAGCAGGATGGAGAGCACAAGGGACATCCAGTTTTCTGTGGCTGTCCTGTCCTGCTTCTGGGGAGGCTTAGTCTCGTCTGAGAGAATGAAAGCATTGCCACGTATTTTTTTCATGGCTCCTGGTAGCCAAGACTGGGAACCTTCTCTTCCTGTGTAAAGGACAACTTCAGATGGCAAGCCCCAAAGTAAATGAGAAACTCCTGTAAGGGACTTGGCCTGCCGGCATCTGTTTCAGCTGAGAAACCCGCAGCAGACCATCGGCCCTGCAGCGTCTTTTAACGCTTCGGTGAGCGATGCCCATGGTACTTGTTGTAATTACATTTGCCACGTGAGGGCAGCCAAAGAATGGTTTTGCGCTTTCTAGTTGCCGACTGGCCGACACCAGCCTGGGGAACCGGCCCTACGCCTTTGGGGGGGCAGCTTCCTCCCCCAAACTTTTGCGGGCAATTTTGTGATGCTTGCAGCAGGGCCCCCGAATTCTCCCTTCTGCATTAACCCACAAAGAGCTGTAACAGGGTACTGCGAGGAAAACGCTGCCGTGTGGTGTGCTGGGTGCCGGGATGCTAGGTCCCACCGGGAGCTCTGCCTTTCTGCTGACTGGCATGGAGTACTCCGGCCCTACGGTGACCCCCGGGACATTTTCCTCCTGTAGGCAAAGGATAGAGGCCCCCCATCTTTTCTGTGCCGCCTCTAACAGCAGCACTCATTTTTTGACCTCCTTGCACAGGGACCTCCTTGTTCTCTGCGCCTGTCCCCTCCTTTGAAGAGCCTACTTGTGATGTGCCATCGTGGCCCAAATGGCTCTGAAGCTCCTCGCTCAGGAGGCACTGCTTGATCATGACGTCTTTTCTGTGACTGTATTTAGGTTAGCTGTGCTGTCTATATGATTTGTGGCATCCTAGCACACCTCCTGAGCAGTCCTATTTGTGACTTGTCAGAGTGGAGAATCATTAAAAAAAAAAGCCAGTGTGTGGCCAGCCCTAGCAGTGTGCCAGCGGCCTGCATTTGTTCTGCGTGGCTTTGGCATGATTATTTTAAAAAAATGATTCACACAAAGGCTTCCTGAAAATTCATTTCACTCAGAAATTACCCAGTGACATGTTACAGCTCTTAAGGGTGTGTTTTCAGAGCAGAGTTAACTGTCCAGTTGCTTCTGCTCTCATCTAGCTGACAAAAAAAAAAAAAAAGAAAAAAAAAAGAAAAAAAAAAGAGAGAGAGAGAAAAGAGAAAAAAAAGGAAAGATCTTTAGTTTAGGTAAGAGATGCTTAAAATGGAGGACTGTGGGATTTTTGCCAGATTTAGAATTAGGGCCTGAACTCTGGTGATGGCAGAGCATGTAGCTTATAGTGAGAAAATTCTCAGCTGAGTTGAATGGACTGAAAATGTGTTAATCTGAATACAGATAAGGAAAGTCAATGCTGTTTTAAAGATATCTTTTCATCTTGCAAATATAGCTTTGAGTAATTACAGAAAGTGATGTTTCAAAGCAGTATGTTTTAGAAATTTGGACAGCCTGCTGGTTTTCTTCGGTGACGCGGCTACATGTAGACTGAGCAGAGAGCATCATTTGCCATCAAAGTCGTTTGGTTCTATTTTTCCCCTGTGATATCCTGTGCTAAGTTTCTAGCATTTTTGACAGAACTTAATGATGAAGACTGAAATATTTCAAGCAAGGTACCTACCACAGAATAAACTGGCTTTGGAACATTTTAACTAAGGTTGTTCTCTCTTTCTGAGAAAGGTTCAAGGAAAACAGACTACATGCCTCACTTCAGAGCAGTGTTCATAGGCTTTTGCCTGGGGCAGTGTAGAGCTGTCTCAACACAAAGCTTTACTGCAGCATGACAGTTGCATGAGAGGACTTCTGCTCTGCCTATGGAAGCTGTATGCCTAACTTGTTTTAAACATAGGAAGGACATGTTTTGTGAAGATATGGTTGAATAATTAAAGATTGTTTTGTAATATAGATTAGGTTTTGGCCTGCCCTTATTTTTGACTGTTCATTTTCCTCTTATTATAGGTGTAATAATTTACTTATCAGGATGCTGGTGCAGAGGGCTGGTAAATGGCCAGAACAAATGATGTTCCCTGCCCTGAAGTGTTTCTGTTTCAAAGGGACAGGAGTCCACTGTGCAGCATGAGGCAAACCCAAGCCAAGCACTTCTGGTGGCTGGATTGCTTTTGGGGAGGGGAATTTTCCAGATTCTGAAGAAAAAGGTCTTTGTTAAGGAAAGCACAAAGATGCTGAGGTGCATGGAGAAGAGTTGGGTTCTGGCATCTCTGGAGGTACAGCTCTTTCTAGTGAAAAAGGTGACAACACTTAAAAGAAGCAGGTGGTCTCTTGAAGAAGAAAATTTGATCTAAAAATCCGACTTACAGTGAAACAAAATGTTGTACAGAAAGTTTCCAAACAGACCTATTCAGAAAGAGTAATAGTAGTAGACTGGCCCACAGGTAGCATGCAAAATACCTGTTTGGAGAGAATAAAGGGAGTAAGACACAAACCAGAAGCAAAACTCCAGAAATGCCAAATTCCCACTGGTTTTGATGGGAGAGTGATCAGTCTGTAAAGCATGATTGTGTCATTTTATTCTTAAAAAATTTTAGTGCAAAGTTAAGGGGAAAAGTATTTGGCTCTTTAACCTATCTTCTTGCATCCTTTTTTTGAAGGTTCGTACAAAAGATCGTGTCTTTGACAGCATAAGTCATCTCATCAATCATCATCTCGAGAATAATTTGCCAATAGTTTCTTCTGGGAGTGAACTCTGCCTGCAGCAGCCCGCTGAGAGGAAACACTGACTCCAGATAACTTTCAGTTTTTATAATTTGCAAGCTATAACTGGTGGAAATGGCAGATCTGAAAAAACTTGTACATTTTTAAAAAAAGCATATTCACATATATTTCACCAGTATGTTTTCTGTAGGTTTAGGAAGCCCCATTTCACACTGTACACTTGAAAATTCTCGATACCTTATGAAGGCATGAAATCACAGCAGAAGGCTTTCTTAAAAAGTAATTTAAATAAAATTGTTCAGATTCTCTAATGTGAATATTGATAGTGTATATATACACATTATATATATAATACAGTACATATTTTTATTTTTCAAGTCAGTCTGTTGACAGTACAGAACTATCTTGTGTCGTGTTTTTACTAGAAGAAAAATGCCAATTGTGATTGTTCAGATAAAAATAGAATTCAGCAGTCTCAATTTCTTGAGAAAATGAATATTAGGAATCTTATTTCTGATTTTACCTAAGAAGCACAACTATGGGGATTACAGGTGGATTATGGTGGTTAACCATGGAAGGAGTCTGAATTCAGGAACTAGTATTCCAACTCGGAAATTTAGCATAAAATGATTTTTAAAAATGTTATTTAATGTCTCTGATATCAAAAGCATTTTATCTTTCTGATGTCAAGTTTGAATTCTTATATGATACTACTCAAAACATTTGTATCTTACTTTAGCAATGATTTGATGTGATCGCTCTGTGTATGAGGTACGTGCATTTGATTTTTCTAATGATAATATCACAGTATTCTGTAACTTTAATTTATTAAATTGAGTGCTAAGGTTATTTATAAGTAGTCCTCTCCTTATGGTGAAGATCTACATGTCCTTGACTACCAGTCTCCAATGAGATGTTGCATACAGTTTAGGCAAGTTCAAATAACTTGTGTTTAATAGGTTTAATGCAAGATAGATGTACATGGTTGGTCAAAGACATATCTGAAAAATCTTTTCTTCTTATAAATACTGAAAACTATAATGACTCAGTGGTCAGTTTTGCAAATGATGTCATTTGCATTTACCTACCAAAGATAACTTGACTTTGGCCTTCAGCAAGTGATAGGTATTGCAAATATACTGCTTTTCTCTAAATATCAAGTTGAAAAATGCACATACACTCAAGATGCATTTCTGGCAGAAATGTGCTTGGCTTTTGGTACTGGGAAATGTTTTAAGGAAGATTTGTACTATTCAAATGCAAGCACTATATGAAGTTATTTTCCTATTTTATGAAACTTATCAAGAGCCAAATTCAATAGACACAGTTTCTGTAAAGGCAAAGTTTGCACCAGAGTCAGGATTTAGCCTTCAGCGTTCCAAGGTCTTCTCTAGCACCAGTGTCTAAAATCAAATCTTCAGACTTGATTCATAAAGGCCAATACTCAGCAGGATAAATCTAGGTTAAGCACCTGCCTACCCTGAAGCAGACAATACTTAAATTCACTTAAAATTAGATTTGGTTTTAGGAATTTGCTAAGTTTAAAAATATGTCAAATTACAGACAAACTGAAGGATCCACTTAGAATTCATTCAGGTAGGATCTTTACATTAAAATTCTGAAATAATTTTCTTGTACCTTCTGCTTTGAAATATGGTGAAGTTGCAACTTGAGAAGTTTGGGTTTTGGTTGATCTCAAGAACAAAAATGATTGAGGAGCCTAAGACTAATGATGTGATCTGTGCAATAAAAATACACTTGATTTTGTAATTAAGACACTCAGAAGCCAAACTAAGACATTACTGAACTAAATGCTTCTGATTAATTTTATTGCAGATAGTTATTAATTGGTATTTGTAGGTCTGCATGGGAGCTGAGAGCAAAGGAAAGGAATTAAATGCTGCGTTGCAACCCATATTATTATGGCACTGAGGTTAGTAGAATTCTTAAAATTTGGGTTGTCCTTTTACCAGCTTGGAAATTACAAGGAAGGTGAGGAGATCTGATACCCCCAAGCAGTATCCATCAAAATTACTTTATTTAAGAGCATATATGTCTCACCATATTCCAGTTTGAATTATCTCAGTTGATACCTTTTTTGTCATATCTAACACTTGTCATTCCATGCTCCCACCTCCCTGCAGCTGTGTCCTGGAAAGTTTTTAGTGTGATCTCACTAACTACAAGAGAAGGTCTCTTTTACTTTGAATGTTATATATCACTTCGGTAAGAACCAGGTGCCTAACTCCCTTAGGTGCCTTCAAAAATACCACCTGCTGCCTGTGTCTGTTTCACATTCCTAAGTATCCTGTCAGTGTATGCCTGGAAAAATGTGACAAGATATGGGTGTATGAATGAAGGCACTGAACACACACTGAAATAAGTATCTAAATTTTTTTACCACCCTAGCTGTAGCTTTAATACCTTAGCAGCTGCCTAGCTGCATGTTTTGGAAATTAAAGCAGGTGGCAGGGAGACACAAAATGAAACAGCTTGACAGAAATACTAAATTCCCCAGACTACATTTCACAAACTCTGCCTCCAGTAAAATGTGGCTATTTTAAGCTGCTCTGTCAGCGCAGAGAATTTGCCCAGCTCAGTGCACCCACTGATGACACAAAAGTTACACATCACTTGATCAGATGCAGTTTGGTCATAGGTAGAGCTAGCGCCTTTGGGCTGCGACAGTGCCCTGCTGCCACAATGGGCCAGGAGATCCTGCCTGGCCAGGTGTGGTGATCCAGAGGCTTTTCTAAGTCACTGGGAACCAAGTGATCTCAAAGCTGTCCAGAAGGAAGGGCATGTGAGCCAGTCAGTGCTCCTTTTGTGGATCCTGCCATTGCTTTTTGTCACTGTCACTCAGGGAGATTTGGCTTTCCCTTATATGAAAATTATATAAAAACTGCATAGCTGTTTGCATCGCAGTTCCAAACCTGTTCTTGTTAGAGTCAAAGACCATTTCACACTGACCTCAAGAAGAGTGAATTGAACCTACTAAAGAGGCAGGGCTCATTTCTGTGAGGAGCCAACAATGTCAGAAATTTGAGAGATGTAGAAGTTATGAGATGGGCTCAAATGCTGTGCGATTGGCTGAAAAACAGACAGTTGACAGCATAATTTGAGCCTTTTGATGTTTGCCTTTGGTTTTGAGTCCCCTCGCCTTTTGTTTTTATTCTCTTTTATGCAATCCTGAGGGATAGGCACTTCCGGGTGATAATTCAGTACCATAACTTCAAGAACGGGGATTTCAATTAAAGAACAAATTTACTAGACTCAATAGAAGTCACTGAGATGAGACAATATTCTGGTATCCTTTGATATTTTCCCAGAGGATAGCTGAGAAGTCCAAACTGAAACTCTAAATATCCTCCAAGACTGTCTACATTGATTCTGAGTCCTACCTGATTATCAGTTTTGATTCCAGTTGTGTTGCAACTGTGTGAACTATGGACAATGAAAACACATTCTAATCCTATAAACAAAGGACTTTCAAAAGTGAACCAAATGCTTCTGTTTAATTTTATTGCAGATTTAGAGCAATTATTATGATAATAAAATTTTCCAGTGAGGCTGGCAGTGACACATTGGACATCGACGTACAGTCATATTACCAAACTTTCAGTTATTTCAGATGCTTCAGGAGCAACACAACCTCAACACAACTTCAAAGGTGGAAAATGTGATTTGAAAACTGAATTATCTTCTGACTTGAGTAGGAGTTTGCTCAGTGTGAGGACTCCCAGGTTACCCTCCCTAATGCGAGAAGAGGACGTTCCAATTGGCTGTGCCTGGGTGGAGACCATAGGAAGAGATGCAGTTTCCATGGCTTACTGCCTGCCTCCCTGCCCACGGTTTTACACACATGGTGAGGATTGAAGGATATACAGTAGCTTCCCTCCACCTTACCTCCCACAGGGTTTACAATGGGAGATAACGCCACAGAAACCTCTGTCTGCCACACATGTTCAATAAAAGCTTGAACAAAGCACATAGTTCCAGGACCAGGATTTGAGTGCAAAATATGCACTGTCACCAGAAGAAAACATTTTCTAAGTCTGGTAAATATCACCTGCCAGCACTATATTTTCTATATCCTGGGTTCATTCTTTTTCTCCTCTGTAGAGTAATATGCTCACATTTCCTATCATCATGGTCCCCAGGCATCATGCCATGCAGAAAAATTTACACCACAGTGCAATTGCTGCTGGCACATCAAATGCCAGATGCCAGCTACAATGTATTCATAATAAATTGATACATATTTAGATGTTTGTAAGTAGTGAATGATCCATTTGAAAAGTAGGAAGAGTTTTGTAGCCTCCAGGAATTTTACAGCTCTAAAGGGGAAATGCGGAATTTGTGAATGTTCTGACAACAGGTTACAAATCCTGCTTTCAAGCCTTTGTTCTTAGCATCCAGTGTCTATCTGAAGTGTGGCAGAACCAAGAACTTATATTAAATAAAACCATATTTGCATAAACAGACACACTTCCCTTTTTATCTTCCAGCATTTTCAAAATATGCCAGCATAAAACCCAAATTCATATTTACTTTAGTGTACTGTCAAAAATACATGATTGCATGGTGTTTTAGCCCAGACCTAGGGTTTCACTCTCCACAAATCTATGCTTGCTCAAAGCTGTCAGGGTACGGGCAAATTCCGACTAAAAGGTGTGTGCTCAGCTGTACTTACTCTACTCACTCACACAGAGTGTCTGTGGACCTTGCTCAATCTGCGTTGGATGCAGCTGGAATGAGGGCAGGCCTGTGGAAGAGATAACACGGACATACAATTTGCCTGCAGCTAACCAGAGGCTTGGATAGGTAGTGAAAATCTGTATTGGGAGAGAAAACCCCAGGGATAAGAAATGTGAAGCCTGGAAACATGAGCCAATAGGCATATAAGCCACTAATGAGAAGTAGAATCTCTGGGGAGGGGAACTGCAAAATCCTTAGGCAATGCCTATGGCTCATATCTTTTTCAGACATTTATGTGCATAAACCTATATCTGTTCCTCTGCATCCTCCAACATAAGCATCTTGTACAGCTTCCACTGAGAAAAGG